TCCGAGTTACTAAAGAAGCTTCAGACTGTAGAAATATAAGGTTGAGGGAATATCAGGTGCAGATCACATTGCTAGAAACATGGCTAAGCTTACCAGTATTATTGACATTTTTTCAATCAGTTGCCAAGTCTTCGCATCGTACGTTTTGCTACGAAGCAAAGGTTAGAAGTTTATCCTATGTCCCGTATGTAATAAAATGTTTTTACCTTGAAAGAATACAATCAGTTTTATGGTATTCCTTTAAAGACAAAGCAAATCTGCAACGCCACATAGCAAAAAGTTCACTACCGGTCATGTCATAACCGACTGACCAGCGGGCAATGTTCGAAGAGTTCGCGCCAACAAACGCTTTGAAGGAGGGATAGTCGGAGTCTTTAACATAAGCTCTCAAATCTTAAGCATAAAATGCATTAGCATAAGAAACTGCAATTGGCACTTTGTTGTCACAGTGATTCTACCTTCAGTACCCGGGAAACTCATTTTTCGTACGAGAATTGTTCTGTTGCGCAACAACCAACAAGCAAATCCTTCACGTGACAACAGTAAGCCACTGAAAACTCTTCCAGTAGTAAACGTCATAGCAGGAGTTTGAAATTCACCATTGATTAGTGACGACAGATTTCCGAACCTAGGCCATTCTTCCAACTAGGACAAGGGACTCTGCTGGCGATCATTGGTTTCCAGTATGTGCTCCCGAGTGAGGTGGTAATGCATGTAACGATATTATCGCGACTTGCTGTATCACTGGAAGCGCATGTCCTTGGAGTGTGGTTTGCGTCTGCTGTTGTCATCAAGGTAAAGTATTATATATTACATGTATAATTATACAACCATGACGCTAATCAATTGTCTTTTGCATCTATAGATTTCCGAACCTAGGCCATTCTTCGACAGGAACAAGGGACTCTGCTGGCGATCATTGGTTTCCAGTATGTGCTCCCAAGTGAGGTCGTATTGCACGTAACGATATTATCGCGACTTGCTGTATCACTGGAAGCGCGTGTCCTTGGAGTGTGGTTTGCGTCTGCTGTTGTCATCAAAGGTAAAGCTATTCTATATGTACATGTATAATTATACAACCATGACGCTAATCAATTGTCTTTTGCATCTATAGATTTCCGAACCTAGGCCATTCTTCGACAGGAACAAGGGACTCTGCTGGCGATCATTGGTTTCCAGTATGTGCTCCGAAGTGAGGTCGTATTGCACGTAACGATATTATCGCGACTTGCTGTATCACTGGAAGCGCGTGTCCTTGGAGTGTGGTTTGCGTCTGCTGTTGTCATCAAAGGTAAAGCTATTATATATGTGCATGTATAATTATACAACCATGACGCTAATCAATTGTCTTTTGCATCTATAGATTTCCGAACCTAGGCCATTCTTCCACTAGGACAAGGGACTCTGCTGGCGATCATTGGTTTCCAGTATGTGCTCCCAAGTGAGGTCGTATAGCACGTAACGATATTATCGCGACTTGCTGTATCACTGGAAGCGCATGTCCTTGGAGTGTGGTTTGCGTCTGCTGTTGTCATCAAAGGTAAAGCTATTATATATGTACATGTATAATTATACAACCATGACGCTAATCAATTGTCTTTTGCATCTATAGATTTCCGAACCTAGGCCATTCTTCGACAGGAACAAGGGACTCTGCTGGCGATCATTGGTTTCCAGTATGTGCTCCCAAGTGAGGTCGTATTGCACGTAACGATATTATCGCGACTTGCTGTATCACTGGAAGCGCGTGTCCTTGGAGTGTGGTTTGCGTCTGCTGTTGTCATCAAAGGTAAAGCTATTATATATGTACATGTATAATTATAAAACCATGACGCTAATCAATTGTCTTTTGCATCTATAGATTTCCGAACCTAGGCCATTCTTCGACAGGAACAAGGGACTCTGCTGGCGATCATTGGTTTCCAGTATGTGCTCCCAAGTGAGGTCGTATTGCACGTAACGATATTATCGCGACTTGCTGTATCACTGGAAGCGCGTGTCCTTGGAGTGTGGTTTGCGTCTGCTGTTGTCATCAAAGGTAAGCTATTATATATGTGCATGTATAATTATACAACCATGACGCTAATCAATTGTCTTTTGCATCTATAGATTTCCGAACCTAGGCCATTCTTCACTAGGACAAGGGACTCTGCTGGCGATCATTGGTTTCCAGTATGTGCTCCCAAGTGAGGTCGTATTGCACGTAACGATATTATCGCGACTTGCTGTATCACTGGAAGCGCGTGTCCTTGGAGTGTGGTTTGCGTCTGCTGTTGTCATCAAAGGTAAAGCTATTATATATGTGCATGTATAATTATACAACCATGACGCTAATCAATTGTCTTTTGCATCTATAGATTTCCGAACCTAGGCCATTCTTCACTAGGACAAGGGACTCTGCTGGCGATCATTGGTTTCCAGTATGTGCTCCCAAGTGAGGTCGTATTGCACGTAACGATATTATCGCGACTTGCTGTATCACTGGAAGCGCGTGTCCTTGGAGTGTGGTTTGCGTCTGCTGTTGTCATCAAAGGTAAGCTATTATATATGTGCATGTATAATTATACAACCATGACGCTAATCAATTGTCTTTTGCATCTATAGATTTCCGAACCTAGGCCATTCTTCCAACTAGGACAAGGGACTCTGCTGGCGATCATTGGTTTCCAGTATGTGCTCCAAGTGAGGTGTATTGCACGTAACGATATTATCGCGACTTGCTGTATCACTGGAAGCGCGTGTCCTTGGAGTGTGGTTTGCGTCTGCTGTTGTCATCAAAGGTAAAGCTATTCTATATGTACATGTATAATTATAAAACCATGACGCTAATCAATGTCTTTTGCATCTATAGATTTCCGAACCTAGGCCATTCTTCGACAGGAACAAGGGACTCTGCTGGCGATCATTGGTTTCCAGTATGTGCTCCCAAGTGAGGTCGTATTGCACGTAACGATATTATCGCGACTTGCTGTATCACTGGAAGCGCGTGTCCTTGGAGTGTGGTTTGCGTCTGCTGTTGTCATCAAAGGTAAAGCTATTCTATATGTACATGTATAATTATAAAACCATGACGCTAATCAATTGTCTTTTGCATCTATAGATTTCCGAACCTAGGCCATTCTTCGACAGGAACAAGGGACTCTGCTGGCGATCATTGGTTTCCAGTATGTGCTCCCAGTGAGGTGGTATTGCACGTAACGATATTATCGCGACTTGCTGTATCACTGGAAGCGCATGTCCTTGGAGTGTGGTTTGCGTCTGCTGTTGTCATCAAAGGTAAAGCTATTATATATGTACATGTATAATTATAAAACCATGACGCTAATCAATTGTCTTTTGCATCTATAGATTTCCGAACCTAGGCCATTCTTCCAACTAGGACAAGGGACTCTGCTGGCGATCATTGGTTTCCAGTATGTGCTCCCAAGTGAGGTCGTATTGCACGTAACGATATTATCGCGACTTGCTGTATCACTGGAAGCGCATGTCCTTGGAGTGTGGTTTGCGTCTGCTGTTGTCATCAAAGGTAAAGCTATTATATATGTACATGTATAATTATACAACCATGACGCTAATCAATTGTCTTTTGCATCTATAGATTTCCGAACCTAGGCCATTCTTCCAACTAGGACAAGGGACTCTGCTGGCGATCATTGGTTTCCAGTATGTGCTCCCAAGTGAGGTGGTATTGCACGTAACGATATTATCGCGACTTGCTGTATCACTGGAAGCGCGTGTCCTTGGAGTGTGGTTTGCGTCTGCTGTTGTCATCAAAGGTAAGCTATTATATATGTGCATGTATAATTATACAACCATGACGCTAATCAATTGTCTTTTGCATCTATAGATTTCCGAACCTAGGCCATTCTTCGACAGGAACAAGGGACTCTGCTGGCGATCATTGGTTTCCAGTATGTGCTCCCGAGTGAGGTGGTATTGCATGGGTCAAACTGAAAATTTTATTAAAAGAAATAAAAGATGGCTATGTAAGCGCTTCGCTGTTTCGCATTGTCGCTAAAGCCCGGTCTCCAAGAAAGTCATATAAAAAACTCATGCGCTCAGAGGGGGAAGAAATCAAAAAGGATTGGCAAATATCGGTATCACAATACAGTTTAGGGATTGTTGAAGGGAATAACAAAGTGTCGGGAGGAGGGGTTGGTGGTGAAAGAGCTTTATAAATCATTCTTTTCTTTTTTTTTGGTAATTTATCGTATATAGATTTTTGTGAAGAAGGGGTGGTTAAGCTGACGTGGTGTAGGTGTGGATGCTGTATCAAGGATCCACAGGATAAAGTCGGGTTGTCGGCGGGATGGCAGGGTCTACTGCAAAGGTGTCGTCGGGCGAAGGTGCTGGTATGCAATCTCGGTCAAAAAATAAAGAATAATTGACAAGTTTTATCACTACTAAGTTCTGCTTGGGTTTAAAGGCAATGTGTCGTTCTTTGGCTAGAACGTGGTGCCTGATAGGTATCAAGGCATAGGTTCATTGTATTTACGCACAATTAGCTCTATACTGTTCATACAACGATTATCTCTCTGGCCATGACTTACTGTATATTGATCAACTAGTCAATTGAAAGTTCTTTTGGACTCGCTAAGAGGCATCCTGAGCGATAACTTTAATTTTTATTGTTTTCAAATGCAAACCACTGTACTAGTGCTTGCCCCGGACAAAGAATGTTCGTGGAACCTTGAAGTCGTTTGACGTTCATGCGACGTGTGTTTAGACTTGTTCCCTATTCTACTCAGCACAAAATGCTAACGGCGCGCTTTTACGTTTTTTTCTTTCCAAATTTATCAAGAAAAAAAGTGATTACTATTTTAAAACCTCCAATTGTTCGCAGTTTTGGTTTTTATTATAATTGTAAATTTGATGAGGTGGATTGAATGATGGAAACCAATTTTTGTTTTGTTGGTTAGTAGCAAGTGTTTTGCCTCTTTTTTCATCTCTTTTGCACCAAAAAAAAAGAAGAGAAAAAATAATTTATATATTCATGTTGTGTCCAGCACTGTAGTATTGCTGATAGTACTGCTGTTGTTGCTGTTGCTGTTGTTGTTGGTTCCATCCTGTTGCTGCTGCACTTCCCACGGCAGCGGCAGCGGCGGCGGATCCATCTGTGCCAAGGTTTCCTTGAGAACCAGCGCCGGCTGGACGTTGTTGCTGCATATCATACGCGCCTGGCTGTACCCAATTCTGCGCGCCGTAACCGGTCGCTGTGGCATAGTTGTACGACGAATAAGGATCATAAGATGCTCTGTTGTTGTTGTTGTTGCTGACGTTGCGGTCTTTGCCCCACGACAATTTTGCTGGTCTGCCGTGGATCTGGAAACCTTGTAATGCATAGATCGCGGTAGCTGCATTAGCGTGGGTATCCATCCTAAAGTTTAAAAAATTAAGCGTGGTCGCGTGTTTTTACTGTTGTTAGGATAATGCATCATGATCGCCATATCTCCGCTCACTTAAAATGATTACGGTGTCCAACTCACTTGACAAAGGCAAAACCACGTTCACTTTGTAGACGAATATCCGAAACATAGCCGTATTGTTGGAAGTAAGGAGCAAGATCTTGTTCTTAAAAAGCGTGATGACATAGTGATTAGTGTTCTTAGAATCCCATATTTACAATCCAGCCGATTCTCAGTATAGAGTAAGTCTTACGGGTTATGCCATGGGGCAAGTTGCCAATGTATACAATGGTGTGGTACGGGGAGGTTTGTGCGAATATCTGCTCGTAAGACATGTTCTGCGATATTACTAGATCATAAATGTGGGTTAGAAACGAAGCAGCCATGATGCATGCCTACAAAGCACACTCGAGCACTCCACCTCCACTTGTTACCCTTCCTCAACTTACAGTATGGAGTACTGGCTTGAGTAGCAGCAGCTGCACCTGTGTTCTTTTGATTCGCCCAATTGCATCGGATAGCACGGGAGCCTAACCATTCGCCATTCATGGTTGCAATGGCCTGCTCGGCATCGGCACGTTCACGGAAAGCCACAAAGCCAAAACCTCGGGATTTGCCGGTTGACTGATCCCACATCACACGTGCCTCTCTGTATAATCATATAGTATCCACCATTCACGTTGGTGGTATGTTTTGAGTTTTTAAACTTGAAGAACGAGCAGAAAACGCAAAGGTTTTTGTTAGTCACATACTTACGATAATGTGCGGAAAGGTGTAAAAGCACTCGTGAGCACTTCATCTGTTACTTCGGGACTAAGATCGCCCACAAAGATATGGTAATGGCCCGTGGTATCTTCCTTTTGAGCCGATCCTTGAGCAGCCCAGTTCACGCGGATTTCCTAAAGCAGCTTTGTCAGTAATGAAATCTATCTGTTTAAATAATCTGCATTCTTTGCCCATACCTGTCCAAAAACAGATCGACCCGTCATGGCTTGAAGTGCTTGCTCTGCTGCAGTATGCTCGTTGAATTCCACAAAACCATAGTTGAAACCACCGTGAGTGTACTAAGAAAGCGGAAACACATCATGTATTTAGTAAACATGTTAAAACGTCACTTAGAATAGTAAGTTGGCCATAATGTAGCCATTTTGTACTCCAACCCCTCCCCTCCCCTTTACAGATCCCAGTATCCTGCTTTCCCCTTCCTTCCTATGATCCATGAAAGGTTAAAAGAACTCAAATGTGCCCCCCTTCCCAGAAACAAGAAGTGAAGAAAAAAGAATCGAGAGAGAGAGAGACAGAGAGACAGAGAGAGACATAAAAAACCTTTCCCAGTTAGTCGTTCCAATTCATGACAACGGTACGTTCGTCCTTTTCTTTTCTGCCATCAACGTCCGAATCTCTTTTTTTCTTTCTGGTTGTATCCATGGAATAAAGTAAGTAGTGCAGCTCCACGACATGGATATAAGCATGAGTGACAGTATAGAAATGAATAGAAAAAAAAGTAACAGCGACGATGGCGAACACGTCATTCGAACCCGATCTAACCCGTTCTCTCTCTTCTTTCTTTCTCACTCACCATCCCTCCCTCTCCCTTTTCGCAATCTTTTGATTTAAGGGAGTACGTCACACTGACCGAAAAAAGAAGGAAGAGTTAAGTAGAAATAACATGGCATGAATAACTTACGTTTCGATCGCGAATAATCTTGACATTACCCACGGGTGAGATGACTGAAAAGATTTGCTGCAGCATTTCTTCTGTTACTCGAGGATCGAGGTTGCCGACATAGAGTGCCTTGCATCCGTCGCTGGAGACTTGTGCTGCCATTGTGTTGTACTATTAATAAGGGAAAGGGGTAGAGTTTCGTTGCTTCTTTTCTTGCTCCCGGCTACAGGGCTTTTTTTTTTGAAAGGGAAGGCCACACTGGAAAAAGGGTCGTCTCACAGCACACTGGCGGACTTCCTTTGCGTGGAAAGCTTATTACCAGTCACGCTGCTTGGCGCGCTCCTTCAATCACCGTTAACTTCAAAGATCGTAGCAAATGGTTGACAGCTGCCAGGCCGTCTTTTCTCTTGTCGCTCTTAAACCCTCTCCTCTCCTTAGCCCGTTCTCTAAGTCAATGCCTATCTGCTTCGTTCCTTAATTGTGCTATGTTATAGTTACAATGCAACAGGTGCTCATTTAGCTGTCACATATTGTCTTAATCATGTCAGTATACTGTTGAGATTATTTAGTTCTTTTGATGTTCTGCTATCTAATATGGCCTAGCTAAATCCCTTTATTCTCAAATTCTTAGAGATACTGTACTTAGCTCAATACATAGCATACGGGTTTTATGAATGTGTATGTATGCATGCAACGCAAGCTATATGCTGTGTAGGTTGTATGTAATGATAATCAATCTTTAAGCCAGGAAGCCCGGCATGAGGAAAAATATTGAATGTACAATATCATAAAAACGCACTAGTCGAACCAACATTCGAACATGTACATTCTACTAGCAAGTGATATCTTCCCTAATATATTCAGATATCAAAATACTGTAGTATGGGCTGAGGTTATAATTTTCTGCAAACACGACAGGATTTGCCGTGCAACAAGAGTTATCTTGATCTTTTTTCGATTATACTCAACCTGCTATGTGGTTCGTTTATAATAATTTCTACAACAATAACAGCATTTATACTACATCTATAGATACATATGTGGTGGTTATACTTATTCGACATAAATACATCCTGAGTAGCGATCCTCTCTATAACAACTATCGCTTGTCATCAAATTCAGTACGTATCTGTCTCTAGCATTAGTTGAAACACACCATTGCTATTTTTGATTGGCTGAATAGCATTCACTGCTTACTTTTTGCGTGCGTGACTATTCTGTTGCCACTCGATTTTTTCCGCCCAGCCCTTGCACAAAAAGTTCCTGCCCTGTCAAAAAAGTGTTAACTAAGATAGAATGCTTCGGTCCACTGCAGGCAGGGCTCTTTTCCGAGCAAACAGATCTCACAACTATATTACACGCTCAAATGCATGGAAACGACACTATGAAATTGCAAATCGCACATCGTTAGGAGGTAGGCTTTGTATGAGGGTTTTTCATTTTGCTGTGCCTATGATGCTCTCTTTATATGAGATTGTTAACGCGTAAAGAATTTTACTTTACACTGACGAATTAGCTTCGCGATCTCTGTCTCATGCAGCAGCTTTGCGCAATACGACGACGGATACAGCAACAAAACACGCCCAAACGACGACAACGACCGTGCAGGGGTCCTCCCTCAAGTCATCAACACAAAATCGACCCGATGTATCCTCCTCCGCCGTCCTTGAGACCATTGCCTCTTTTGCTGCTAAGAGCGATGCTCGGGGTGCTGCACGTTATTTCCAAGGTGTCCAAAATACGCAACTTGGGGAAGAGGCACTTACTGCGGAAACATACACGGCACTTATTCGACTCGTTCGACAGTCGGGCGATGTTGACCTTCGAAACACAGTTTGCCGTTGGTTCTATTTGTCACGCGAAAATTCACCACTTTCAAAGGCGGTCTTTAGCGATATCGACGTCTGGACAGAGGCTTTGAAGCTTGGACTTAAACAAGGCAAAGTGCTTTACTCGACAGATCTTTCGATGCTGGTTACCAAGTTTACAAGAACCTTTAAGATGCAAGATATAGAGAATGTCGACACATTAAACATTTTGACACGGGTAAATAATGAAGCAAATTGCTGCAAGTTGGAAGGAGAAGGATGGATGAATTCACGAGCATTAATGTGTGATATTGGGTATGTGCAAAAAGGCATACGGTATTTTGGATAAGCCCGAATCGATCGCACCATGTCTCAAGGCTGCACAAAAACACGCTGTCGCTGGCAACACGGAACCAGTCGAAGCAGCTATACTTGCATATGCTACATGCGGCTGGAACACACAAGTAAAACAGCTTTTGACGACGATTGGCGCTTCCGAATCTTTTCTCGCGAAGCTGTCCCGGACATATGCATTTAAGGGCGATATTGCACAGACACGCATCTACGTTCAGCAGTCCAAAAAGCTATCCAGCAACTATCAAGACAACGGCACTATTCTTTTGGCTCACAAAAGTGCCATCGAACGCGAATATATCCGGCAAATCCAGCATGCCTTGAATGGTGGATACAATGTCAGATTTAGATGGAACGAGCGGCTTCGGGCGTTGCAAAAATCGTGGGATGCGGAATTAGCATTGGGCGACTCAAATATGAAGGATGTGTTTCAATGCAACTATGCTTTGGATTACTTATCCAAGGCACACATCATGAACCCTACGGCATATCCTATGGAGAAGCTGGAATCTTTCGTTCGAGAGAAAATGCCAACGCAAGGTGTCAAACCAAACGACTACACATACACTATCCTATTGCGAACGTACAGTCGATCGCAGCAATACGTCGACGACGCAACGACCAACACTAGACTCAATAAAACATTAGACCTATTCCAAGAAATTCAACGCAAGGATAAGGCATTTGACGTCCGCATTGGGTTCCACGCCTTGTATAGTGCCTGCATTCCACACCAAGGCAACAACTATCCATTTGACTATTTCCTCTACTTTAACAACATCCACAGCGGTAGCAGCAACGTGCCACGACGACTTAATTTGGACAGACGGTTTTTTGATATCGAAAAGATTATGTTGGGCAGCAGAATCCGGTACGACAAAAAGTCGCTGATACTGGCATTAACGTGTCTGGGTACGTCGGGTCAATACCGAGCCATGTGGAACCGATGGCATCTTGTAAAGCAGTCCGGTTTGAAAAGAGACAATGCACTGTATCGACACATATTCGCTTTGGCATCAATGAATAAGGAGCAATCGCAATATGCGCTGTCTGTTATCAAGGAAGAACTTGTCCGAGAATTAGCACCAAAGAGTGTGACCTGGTCTACGTATGTTGCCATGTTGGATTGCTGTATTACAGCCCAAGATCCGAACGTCGCCAGACAAATTCTTGCAACAATGCCAAAATCGTATGGCAATACGAGTCAACAGCAAAAGAACGAGCTGGTGGGGTACTACGAGCCAATGTTGCGTGCTTGCACCATGATCAAGGGACTAGAAGCTGAGGCGGACCAACTGTTTGAACAAGTACATTCAAAAGAAATACCCTATAACCACAGCTTGTGGCGGGCAGCCATGTATCAGGCAGTGCGACAAGGCGGTGAGATCCGCGGCCAGAAAGTGCAGCAACTTTTCACACAGTATACCATGCAACGGTTTGAGCAATTGGGCAAGATCCCTATTCCAATCCGTGAAACTGCACCTGTCGCTCCGTTCCCATCGGGCCCTTACTCGACGTTTGATATGCACATGATCGACCTCTACGTTGCATCGTTGGTGGATTCGCAGGATGTTTCGCTGGCTTTGGATGTTTTCAAGACCTTAAAGGAAGAGCAACCGGGCAAGTTGCGTCTTTCAAGTAAAACGGTGGGCGGCTTCGTACAGTTGGCTAAACGCGAGAAAAGTGACGAGGATCTGAAGTGGCTAAAAGAGTCAAAATAACGTGTCAATGGTAGTACAAAATTTGTTTCTTTCTTCTTTCTTCTCCTTTCTTCACGACCTTCCTGTATCATTCCTCCTACTCTTAATAAAGGCTCTTTTTTCTTGTGCATTCCATTTATACGTTGGATATGTGGAGAAGTTGTACCGTTAACTGTCAATAATATGATAAGTACATCAACTCATGCTTTTTACGAGTTTTGGCATTGTCAAAATATGCTATGATCATTTAATACTGCTGCTTGATACTGTACGGGTGATCTCGAGGGCTACTACAGGTGAGTGGCTCTGGTGGCAACCTGAGTATGCATCAGTCTTAAATGGCGTAATACAAAACATAATATGAACGCGTATCAGTCATTTGTTTCCTACTTCCCTCCCTCAAGCCAACATGACTAGTTCCTCAGACTTACTGGTCGAAGTAAATGAGTTAATATAAATATACTCGAATACCCAATATCTGCTCGAGTGCACATGTACTTCAAGCGTACTTAGCCTGATCTTCCGGTCAATTCTATACGATCGTTAACATTAACCGAACGATTATAGCTTACCAAGTTCATCAAGACAAATCAAGTACCTGCCAGGGCAATAAAGAAGGAAAGGAAGACGACCGTTCCGCTCTTTAGCAATCTATGCGCTCTTGTGCACCCTTAACGACGGCGCAATAGATATGGACAATATGAAAAGACTCAATATGCTCGTCACAAACGTGAAGTCTGTGTCTTACAAGTGGAAGACGCACAAACCATTATTACGCGAGTTTAGAATTCCCATCCTGTTGTTTATGCATTTTCACCTAGCAACACTTAACAACCTCTGACTTTGGAAGGCAGCTCCAGCCGATTTAAGAAACCAATATGGCAGAACTTTGAAAATACAATTTTACGAGTACTTCGCCTTGTTCTACTGCTTGAATCACTTACAATTGGTGTCGTCAGTTCGGGCATCATGATTCACGACGTAGAGAGGATCCACGTTCTAAGACGTAGATTGCAACAGCTTTCGATCAAACCCATCCCATAATGATTCCCCAATATTAATGAAATCCCACCCGCTGATAGATTAAAAAAGCTAACGATATCTCTTGGATTATGGTCACATCCGCTCGTATGCTATACTTAATGATGGAGCTATGCTATTCGCAAATACCCTTCGACCAAATCGTTAGTGTTGAGCTTTGAGCTATTTCAAAGTGTGTTCAGCAAGCTGTAGCCAGGTTTCATACAGGAACATGCCGACACATCTAAAAAAGCCAAACCTCGGATCGTTATGTAGCTAAACGACCACCAAGTGCATGGGCTCTGGCTGTTAGAGAATACCTAAGCCAACGGTTAACGTTGATATGATACAACAAGGCTAGTGTAACCTACCTTGTTGTCCCCAATACATTCGATTCAATAAACGGGCTCCTCCCCTTAGTATTGGCTTTGTAATCTACTTGTATCACTATCTGTCAGTTTACTCTCTATCATTTTCATCACAGACTTGGTGTAACTGTGAGTGCAAATTTATGTCACACCCGCAACAATATGCTTACTGCGAGTGCAAAAACAATTCACACAAGGTGCAAGACCATTTCGCACTACTGCGGTATCCATTGGATCAAGGACCTATTGGATTAGTCATAGATAGTGTATCAGAATTAGTATAAATAGACCAATATTTGTATTGAATAATAAACAGTTCAGTTCTTTAGCTTCTCTTTCTCTTAACTTTAGCTTTTCCCTTTCCTATCAGAAAAATTGTCTTTTGTGGCTCCAGACGTAATAATTCCTGGTTGTTGAACTCCCACACTTCTATTTCATCTCTTTTGCTTAATACTTAGCATTTCATCCAGATTTATCAGCTTTTCTTATATCATACTATCCATCCTATTAAACGAGATTCGTAACTCTTACACAAACTAAGACGTTACACTAGTTGACCGAATACCCTTGGGACTTATTTACAAGCCAGAATCGCGACTTTTAACCTCAAACAATCCCTTTCATCAGCTCTATACCAAGTTAAAACACGATGCCAACCCTCCTAGAGACCCTGTCCAGGCGATCGATCATTGCTCAAAAGCTCAAACTTCGCGGGAACAGCCACAAAACCATTCGTTGCCTCCAACCTACCAGAATGATCGACCTGTTCACTACCTCCTCGCCTTCTCACAGGACCGGCATCGCGTAGTCAAGTGACGTATACAAAGGCTCCCAACGTACCCGCTCCAAAGATGTCGTTGTGACATACCACTGGCTAATCGAGAACCCTGTGCTGAGTGTGAGCATTTTCGCACCCTTCTGCAGTTCTTTGATGCTTTCGGACCACTCCCAGATCTGCTACCCGACGATGTGCAACCATTGTACTACATTCTGAACCATCTATCCCACTTTGATGCCAAACTCTAGTGTGATAGATGGAAGAGAACCTCTGCTCCGTGTCCTGCGCGAAATAGACCGTTTCAGCCATCCAGGTGTTGACTATGATGCATCGCATGCAAAAACCTACTCCAGAAGATGCCCTCGTCTAGACATACACACACGTATGCTCGTCTTCACAGCATATTTCAAAGTGTCTCTTATAGTTCTCATTATCTGCCCCCTCTTTCTTCAGTTGCTAGTCTCCCATCACTTTCAACATCGATTTCAACCTTCCGCAGTCTCTCCTCCACCTTAGCTTTTTTCCCATTATACGCGTTTTTTTCAGCTGTGTTATCCCTCATTTGTAAATATTCTCCCATTAATTGTACTGCAAGAAAGCATTCAATTACACATGGTCACTAAGACTTCCATGAAATACGTGCCAGAATCTCTTAAGACCCCAGCAGGTGCTACCACTTGACGCTCTGTTCTCTGCATGCCCCTGGTTACAGAAACTCGCAGCTATCGAACGTGTAATTGAGTACAACGACAGCGATCACCCCCAATCGGCCAATTTCATCAAGTCGACGCCTCTGACAGCAATATCATCTTGATGATACCGACCGTAACCAAGCCTTTGCAGCCTTTAAAAGCCTAGGTACTGCATGGTGCTGTCTCTAAAGACAGATATACATTAACTCGGACTGAAAGCAGATACCCTAACCTATCTCACCTCACATTGATTTTTCGCTCATCATTGATGCCATTTACTAACGATGGTGACGGCGACAGCACTATGGTGAAGCAACTGCGCTTCAAGTTGACATGTCAAAGCACTACTTTGCCTTTTACAAGTTGCAGCACCAGGCATCTGTACAAGGCTATCACCGGTAACAGACGACTTGACCGATCTTGTGGTGGTAGGTCCATTAGCCATCTACGAAAAGCATCAGCCTCATGTATTTGTAGAAAGCGTGCGGAAGCGAAATTTTTTTTTCTGTGATCAAGACATGGAGAATGTCAAAAACTGTTCTCAAATCTAAATTCATCGCCAGGCTCGCAATCCAGAAATCCGGCTTATATTAACAAGAGCAACAACGACGAAGATCTATGAGCCAGCTTGATAAGGATGAGACAATCAAAGACAAATACGAAAAAGTATCGGACGCTGCCAAACTGGCACTCACTGTTCAAAGCAACTTTAATCCCTCAAATCATTGGAGTATAGTCTTCAGCCGCCGTCGTGTCGATCAGTTTTATTACGAAATCGCTAACTTAGTTTATCTAGCGTAAGCAAAAGCATATAAAAAATGTCATAAAATCGTATATTAGTGATTTATTAAAAGCATAGGTATTCGTATGTTTTTGGTAATGCTCAGCTAAACAAAGCTCACAATGCTGTTACGTGAGCTTGGTACAACAGAGATTCTGGATAGCAATCAGTTGCTAGTAGCCTTATCTGAGGCTGAGACGTAAAACAACTAAAGTAGCTGTGTACTACATTCATATTGAATGATGAATTTTGAAAAGGGCTTAGCATAATAAGCGTACAAGTATCTTTGAACTTATTACGTGTATAGCCAACAGCAAAAATCATGGCTCCACTCAGGACGCCTTGAGTGTGGTAGGTTTTCTCGGTCAAACCATATTTCCAGAATTGCTGAGTAAATAAAGACGCGGCTGCTGAATTTCATTAAGCTAACCACTTCTTTTCTGGCTTTGCTGGTTCAACCCTTGTTAACGTTATTGTGCCCTGAAAAAAAAAGAACCGACATACTTTTTTTTTGTCAACCACCAAACTTACACACATATATACACAACAGCACAACCTTGGGGGAGGAAACACTTTGATTCTTTTCTTTTTCTGCCTAAAGAAACGACGATTCAAGGACAAGACTGTGTTTCGACAAAAGAACAAAAGGAAGAACAACCTTTCCTCATCCCGTTAAATATACATTCCATAACAACGTTGCCTTTGCTCACTCTTTCTTGGCGCGGTAAAACCGAGGATTTTATATTGCTTGAAAACAAGAATGGCAACAACCTCCCCTACAGCATCATCGCATAATTTGTCGTCCCCGACGTCCACCAGAACGTCCATGACCTCATCCCAAGCAACAAGCGCAGTATTTGTGTTGAACGCTCTGGATAAAATTGCCAACACGAAAGAAGGTCGAAAGAACAAAAACTTAAAAGAAGTCGTATTAAATGCCCAACGTAAGCTCTTCCTTCTTTTAACGTTAGCTTACCCTTCACAACTCCCAGAAGTGGTTAATTTCAACATCTCTCAGAAATGCTGAAAACGGGTGAGGATCCACCAGAGGGTCAGACTCGGTAAGTATAAAGTACCAGGAAGGGAGTGATCAAGTGTAATAATCAGTGCACAGACATGCTTACTATTGTTTACGCGTTATTCTATGATGTTATAAGGTCGACTGTAATTCTATCTGCTTTGCAAGCAGCTATTGATACACGTTCAGCAAATCTTATGACGATCGCTCTCGACTGTCTGGGCAAATTTATCACATATAACTATTTGGCTGATATCGAGGATGAGGCAACACAATCACAAGTCATGGAGAGAGTCGTGGATAGCATTTGTGATTGTTTTATTGGCGAGGAAACGGACGAGAAGGTCCAATTACAGATTGTCAAGGTATGAAAAGTCAAATGAGGGAAAGATGTAACAGAAAACAGATAACGAGAAAAATAGCCAAATGCTAAAAGTTTATCTCGGAAAGTAGACATTACTTGACGCCGTATACTCTTCGAACAATCCTATTCATCAATCCGCCTTATTAAAAGCCGTCCGGACGACGTACAACATCTTTTTATTATCACGCAACAGCGCCAACCAGAACATTGCTCAAATCACGTTGACGCAAATGGTCGACCACATATTTAGACGAATTAAAGTCAACTCGCTACCCGTTTATACTGGTACAGCCGTCAGCACCACCTCATTAAACGATGTGTCTCCACGAAATGTTGAAAATACCGCTGCTGCCAAGAGTACATCAAATGACACAGTTGAAAAAATTGGGCAGCAACAAGAGGAAGAAGAAGACACGTCTTTTCAACAGCAAATTATTGTCGAAGCTAGCATGGCACGTAGCGAAATGGCTCGCAAATTGCCATCTGGAAAAGCAAATGATAATTCAGAAGAGTTTTTGAACGATACCGCCAACGTCTTCCAGGAAGAGCACGTGGAATCTGGTGTTCTAACAGAAAAGTCGCTACCACAACCGCCACAGAATGCGGATGAGAAACAAGGCAACGAGACAGCAGCTATGGAAGTGGAGGCTTCGGAAAAGATTGACGAGGAGAATTCCGTTACAGCGAATGGAGGAGATTGGTATGTCAAGAAAATTAGAGATTATTGGCGCTATGTTATTTGGTAAGTGAAGATGGGTATATGCTAAAATATGTAATTATTACTAGTGACGCTACCACGAGTCGGGGTTCCTTTGAGAATGAAGGTGTGCATGTGGCAACCTCTGTAGAAACCGAGACAGACTTGTACATCAAGGATTCTATCCTTGTATTCCGAGCGTTGTGCAAATTGTCTAAGAAGCCTATTTCCTCTGAATGGTAAATGTTTCTAAGGAAATAATTAGAGAGAAACGTTGAGTGATATGTGTTTTAAGGGAGACTGACATGGAGACCATAATCAGGGGCAACGATATGCGCTCGTATTCAATGAGATCCAAGTTGTTGTCGCTTCACTTGGTTTTGACAATCCTGTCATCCCATATGAATGTATTTACATCTCCATCCGTGGTTTTTACGGCAACCTCAACCGAGTCATCTGTGCATCGAGTGAACCCTTTTATCCAAGAAGTGAAGCAATACCTTTGTCCAAGTCTTGGAAGAAACGCATTTTCTGTGGTTCCACAAGTTTTCGACATTACACTTGAAATCTTATCCAAAGTCGTACAGAGTTTGCGAGTCTTCCTAAAGGTACGTCGCGCAATGTAGAAGGGAGATTTGATGGTATAAAATCTTGTTATTGGAAATTGACAGTAAGAAACTGACAAACAATCCACTATAGAAAGAAATTGAGGTATTTTTCCGCGAGATCTTTTTGCGGATTTTGGAAATGCGCACAGCTTCAATGCAACAGAAGCATTCGCTACTCAAGATCGTCCTACGAATATGTAATGATCCACAAACCCTGGTCGATGTATACCTCAATTATGATTGCGACGAGGCTTCTCTGGACAACATTTATGAGCGGTAAGAAGAGACTTGGTGCTATTATCCGCGTATGTGTACATGGATTGCGATATGCTGACAACACATTTATCTGCTTACAGCTTAGTGAATATTTTGTCCAAAATCACGACCACCCACTCCGCACCGCATAACAACAAGGACCATGACACCCACTCTTCCTCGTCCAACACGTCGAGCCAATCGCACAACAAACACTCCAAATCAGTCATGATCCCACCTCCTTTGACCACCGACACTGTTCAGTCCAACGACAGGCAAGCTAGCCAGGGGGTTCCGCTACCAGAGTCTGCGATACGCTACAGATCGCTAGAATGTCTTGTTGCTGTCCTGCGTTCGTTAGTAAGCTGGTATACAAACGGTTCCGTAAGCGTATCAGCTGGAGCCAAAGCAGACGATGACCAAAGTTCGGGAAACACGCCGCGAGAGAGCGAAGATATTCGACAGTCCACCGATCGTCTAACCAGCCACAGTAACTCGTCCGCAGCACGGTTATCGCCTAATATTGACCCCAATGCTGATAGCAGTAATAATAACCTAAATGGCAATGGCACAGGGGAGAATACACCATCACCGCCATTAGACGATCCAGAGCAATTCGAAAACTTGAAGCACCGAAAACGGGTCTTACAGGAAGGCATCCGACAATTTAACTGGAAGCCGAAGAAGGGTGTTCAAATACTTGCTCATAATGGGTTTTTCAACATTGACGATCCCCAGGAAGTTGCTCGCTTTTTGCTTAATACGGAAGGATTGAGCAAAGCAGTAATTGGTGAATTTTTGGGTGAATAGTAAGTGTGCATACTCATTGGATTGATGACATCTGCTTCCATTTGATACGTGAACCATCTTTTTGGTGTATTAACTATGTTTACAACTTCAGCGATGAGGTAAACGTAGCTATCATGCATGCGTTCGTGGATGAACTAGACTTTGGCAACATGAATTTCGTGGATGCACTTCGACATTTGCTCCAAACTTTCCGTTTGCCAGGAGAAGGCCAAAAGATTGATCGCTTCATGCTCAAATTTGCCGAACGCTATGTGCATTTCAACCCCAACGTATTTGCAAATGCCGGTAAGATTTTTAACCGGTAATCTGAAAGATATTGTTTCGCTTGCGCTGTCTAAGCATATATTTGCCTTTGGTAATAGAAACTGCATATGTTTTGGCATATTCAGTGATTATGCTGAACACTGATCTCCACAGTCCACATGTGAAGCGACGCATGACCTTGAATGACTTTATCAAGAACAACCGCGGTATTGATGATGGTTCTGATATTTCAACCGAGCTCCTGGAAACATGTTTCGAGGAAATTCAGAACAATGAAATCAAGCTCAAGGATGAAGTTGAAGCTGCTCAAGATGCTGCATTGCTTACGGCGCCTGGCGGTGCACTAAACATGATGGGCTTGCAGAATGCCTTGGTCAGTGCTGGTATTGCCCGTGATGTACGACGAGAGGCATATCAAGCAGCCACTGAAGAGATGGGCTCCAAGACCGAGGCTGTGTTCCGCAACATGCTCGCAAGTCGACGACGAGCAGGTGAGAATGAGACGATCACCTTTTACAGTGCATCGCATATCGAGCACGTTCGACCCATGTTTGAGGTGGCATGGACCGCATTTTTGGCGGGTATTTCAGGACCGTTACAAGAGTCCGACGACCTCGATACAGTGCAACTTTGCTTGGAAGGTTTCAAGACTGCCATTCGCATCATTTGCTTGTTCCACACAGTCGAGTCAGAAGATGTCGAGCTTCAGCGTGGTGCGTTTGTTACAACGCTCACCAAGTTCACGTTCTTGTCCAACTTGAACGAAATGAAACCAAAGAACGTTGAGGCTATTCGCACGCTGTTAGAAGTGGCTGCAGTAGATGGAAATTATCTCAAGGCTAGCTGGAAGGAGATCTTATCGACCGTCAGCCAGTTGGAACGATTCCAGTTGATCACGAGTGGCGTGGATCAAGGCGCTTTACCAGACTTCACCACCAAGCGTCCTCCTCAGCAAAGTGCCATGACCAAGAACTCTGTCGATCTCTCTCGTCGATCCTCCTCCTTCAATTATTCCCGCAAAGCATCTCGAGGTGCTAGCCAGCTCTCTGTTACAGAAGAAGTCGCGTCTGCAGGCAGTTCTCAGTCACTCGTACTGGCAGCTGATAAGCTATTTACAGCCACCGTCAATCTCAGTGGAGTAAGTGACCGAAGAGAAATATCTATCTGATCGAAAAATTAGATGATGCCACAACAAGTAAAGGAGATTCTAAGTTCACTCTTTTGAATCCATTTTGTAGAAAGCAATTGTCGACTTTGTCAAGGCACTCTGTGAAACGTCTTGGGAAGAGATCGTATCCTCTGCCCATTTGGAACATCCACGCATGTACAGCTTGCAAAAGCTGGTGGAAATCTCATACTACAACATGAACCGTATCCGTATGGAATGGTCAAATATTTGGGCTGTGCTAGGTGAATACTTTAACAAGGTTGCCTGTCAATCCAATTTCAATGTGGCCTTTTTTGCGCTGGATTCGCTTCGACAGCTATCCATGCAGTTCTTGGAAAAGGAGGAATTACCGCATTTCAAGTTCCAAAAGGACTTTTTGATGCCTTTCCGCGAAGTGTTAGCGAACAACCCAGATGTTGCAATAAAAGATATGGTCTGTATAACATAGCATATCGACCTGTCTTCATTGACTAACATACCCCTTATTAATGCAATAGGTTCTGCGCTGCCTATCACAAATGATACTTGCCAAGGCACAAAATATACGCTCGGGTTGGAAGACAATGCTTGCAGTATTTGCCACTGGTGCTCGAGAAACATCCGGTATGTCGGCTGTCTTTTATATGCCTTTCTCTTCAACGCTTGGATGTGGCGAGTACAATCTCACTAAAACTGGATAATCGGCAGAAACGATCGTTCAAATGACTTTTGATATTGTCCGAAGTGTAACAACTGAACGCTTCAATGACATTGTGGCAAACGGAACATTCCCGGATTATATTTCGTGTCTCACCGAGTTTGCAAAGAATAAGAAATTCCAAAAGATAAGGTACTCTTTTCCTTTCCTTTCCTTTCTTCTTTCTTGAATGTCGTTGGTTATTACCGAATTGAAAGCTTTGAATTTGAAAACGCTTATTTCCATGGGGCTAAACGTCTCCACACTTTCCCGATGCTTCCATCGCACAGTTTACCAGCGCTTGATATGATTCAGGATACCATACCCCGTATGCTCAGCATTGCAGAAAAGAACAAGACAATTGAGATCACCGATGCACATGTCTCAGGCCCACAGACAGTGCAATCTGGAGACGACTTTCTGGTCAAGTTCTGGTTTGCTGTTCTTTTTGGCTTCAGAGAAGTCACCATGAACAGTGACGACGTTGAAGTGCGCAAAAGGTAATCATCGTTGGATTGCTCTCTTCTCACGACTACAACAGAGAACCGTATCGTTTTCTAAATCAAGGGTCATGTTCTTACTAAAAAAAATAACATCAGATCGCTCCAGTATCTGTTCGATACGCTCAAGCAACATGGCTCGCGCTACCCTGCTGAGTTTTGGACTACGATCTCCCGACAAATTGTGTTCCCGCTATTTGACAACCTCAAGCAGGATTCTGTGCATCATCGCAACATGTCTCCCGAAGATCTTAGTGTCTGGGTATCCACGACCATGATTGAAGCTTTGCGCAATGTTGTTGACCTTTACACTTACTATTTTGACAATATGAAAGGAATGATGCGGCATGTCCTGGGTCTTTTTGGAATTTGTATCACCCAAGGTGAGTTGGCTTGCTTGCGGACAGAAGGCGGGTAGCGGGGTGGAGATCCTTAGAATGTGGGGTGGGATGACAGTGGAGACTGATCCGCTGTCCTGTGCGTCCGTGCTGACATTAAAAACAAACAAACAAACAAACGATTCTGTAGATAATGATACCCTCGCACGCATTGGCTGCGAATGCCTTGAGCAATATATTGAATCCAACGTGGAGAAGTTTGACATCCAATGCTGGGACCTTGTCACGGAAACGTTTGACAACTTGTTTGAAAAGACCACAGCATATGGTCTGTTTGAAGACACCAAGGATCTTGTGGACAAGGTCAAGGTTATGTCGATGAACGAAGGCCAGTCCGCTAGCAATTTTGAACTTCCTAGTCAGGAAGGAGCTGGTGTGATGGCGGGCCAAGCCGAGGTTAGCGAAGAGCGACAGCGTGGATTTCAACAAGTCATTGTCAAGTGTGTGCTGCAGCTTATGTTGATCCAAACCGTCAATGAGCTGCTTGGCAAGGACACTGTGTATTGTGCATTTCCTGCCGGTCACTTGATGGACCTGATGGAATGCCTGGGTCGATCGTTCCACTTTGCCAAACATTTCAATGAAGACAGCGATTTGCGTATGGCGCTGTGGCGATTTGGTAAAGTGACACAGAAAAGCTTATCGTGCTACAGCTCTCCTAATTTGTGGAAATGCAAGTGGTACAGAACGTTAATCTAAACTCTTATTTTGGATTGTCTAAACACACCAGGTTTTATGAAGCAATTGCCTAATCTGCTGAAACAAGAAACGTCAAGTGGTGGCTGCTATGTTTCAGTGTTAATGCGCATGTATGCTAACCTGGAGAACATCGGCGACCGTGATGAACGCCGTGATGAAATAGAAAAGACGCTGATACCGTAAGTTGTATACCATTGCCTACCATTCCCTGATATACACCATAGACAGATACAATTTATGTTCCATACGCCGAAAGCATATGCAATCAGGTGTGTGATTAACCCTGTTTGCCGCGGATTGCCGAATTTAGGTTATGTAACGAGATATTCACACTGTACACCGAACTCGATCATGAGACTAAGCCCAAAAACATTGCCGCATGGACACCCGTTGTAATTTCCATCCTCAACGGATTAGCTCAGCTTCAGGACGAAGATGTAAGGGATAAGGCAAAATCAAGTAACCCGTGTTCCATATTATTAATCTACCTGCTATTTTGTTTTTTGGTGTATGTCATGTCCTGTACTAGTTCCTGAAGCACGTGCCACAGTTCTATCTGCCAGCGGTGGAGCTGCTTGGACAAGAGCATATGCTACCTGAAATCCGCGGCGCACTGCGCACCTTACTTCTCCGTGTAGGCCGAACTTACAAGATTACTACCACTAATACTACTACCGCCCAATAGTTTGCATGCTATCAGTCCCTCTATCCAAAAAACCCCCGCTCCATCACCGTTTATTTATAGATAAGAAGAAGCTCCACCCCATTTTCCCCGCAATAATAGTGTTATTATGTATTTTATCTCCAAATTATTGGATTTTTGTTTTTAAGGGAAGCTTACTTAAAGAACACTGTTTGAATGATCTCACGAGGGACGGATTATGTAACAGTCTGCAGGCGTGGAAAACCGGGCAATATTACTGAATCGGTACGGTTAAAGCTTTAGGAGATTTTCAGCCAATAATGCCCGGGCCAATTATATTTTTTCCTAACGCGACCTTGGGGGAGTGGGGGGATGGACGGCACAAGCCGTCTCTCCTGATGTGGGACGTGGCGGAAACAAACGGCTCCAAGCGTGAATAAGAGAAGAAGAAAGAAAATGTGGAGAGACAAAAAGAGTTGAACCGTGTCAACGACGTTCCATTTCCTCTTTTTCTTTTTTTTCTTCTTCCGCTTTATTACCCCACATCTTCTTCCTACACACAGGCCTATAGCATGGAATCATTGTCACAGCAGCAGCAGCGGGGCTATTCCCTACCATCACCCACTTCGCCGTCAAGCACATCATCGTCTACTGCCAGTATAACAAAGAAACGCTCAAGCAAATCACACGTTCCTACTGCATGCGTAAGTGTTTTAAGCTTACATCTATCATGAAACAATTAAAAGGTGCTCGGGCCCTTGTTTACTGAAGTCCTCTTGTGCGTGTAGGTGAACTGCAAAAAAGCTCACTTGGCTTGCGACTGTAAGTTTTTTTCCAACTTTTATCAGTCCCTACCATACCCCTGAATATATCATGCTAAATCAAAATGTCGCTGCCACTGGCATATAGTATCGAGACCGTGCAAGCGTTGTGTTTCAATGGGCAAGACCGACTCCTGCTACGATATTCAACACAAAAAGCGCGGTCGACCAAAGCTTCGAGACAAACGAACATCAACTTCAACGTGGAAACACGACAAAAGCGAAAAGCATCGACCGATCAATCACAGCAACAGCAGCAGCGCTTCTGCAAGCAACCATGGTACTGCTGTTGCCACTGCTGCTGCTACCATGGCAATGACAGTTGCACCTGCGATTGCACCGGGCATAGCGAATTCTTCCTTCACCATGACGCAACCACCAGGATACCAAGAGCCAAAGGAATCAGTGAACTCCATGATGACGGTAAAAGCGAGTTCTTTTTCCCTCCAGATCACACTACCTTTCTATCTCTTGTTTCGAAGTGAGAACTTATGGTCATTACGCCTTTATCGTTTTCCGCAAAATCTAGATATTCCTATCGATGGATATGCGATGCGCACGTGCATCTGATGAAGCACTCGAGTTCTTAGGTCTCTACCCGCAGCAATTGGCTCATCGTTCACTTTACGACTTTCTCGTATCGACAGATGGCCTAGAAAATATACATCGATGTTTGCTGGATTCAAACAGACCTGCGTCACAGATCACCACCACCTCGGAACAGTTTGTTTCTATACCACCTTCTCAACTGCTGAGTATCGCCAACGGTTCCCAGACGTTCAAAGAAACGCTTCACTTTAAACAACCAAACGGCACATTCTTTGACCCACTTCAAGCTCGGTTCTATCTAGGTGGTGGATTAGGTGCTGATCTCTTTATGCCTATTACTTTGGATCGGCTGTATATCGTATGCTTATTGACGATCAAACCACAATCAAGTAACAACAACGCAGTAGCACTGGTAAGATAGTTTAGAATGATTAGCAGCAAAGAAGCATATACTTAACTATCGCTATTCACTTTCACCTCTATAGCCCAATGACGCAACGGCTACTGTTCGTCCTATAACACCGAAGCATCAGCAAGAACAATTGCTACCCCACGACGATCTAAATACAGTAGCGCTTGCGGATCCACAGCAAGCTTTTCAATGGACCCCAACAACTTCATCACCATCTATGGACAATACCGACGCCTTTAGGCTCTACGATGCTAATTTATCATCATCCAACAACAGTACGACGACAGCGACTACAACTAGCACGGCTATAACCGAACGATGGGGTTCAGATGATGAAACACATCAGCTAGTATGGATGCACCCACACGACTTTGTCTATGCCCCACAAATACAACAACAAACAAAACCATCATCAATCGATCATACCAAAATACCCATTACTACCGCCACTACTACCACCACAACAACTACTCCTACGAATATACTTGATAACAATAACCACCACCATGCCATACCACCATCGTCAGAGTCGTCATGGCACGTCGGACAATCTGATATGGGAAGCTTACTCGTACCTACCACCCCTGCCACCACAACCGATTATGAAGCAATGATGATGCGAGACATGAAATGAATCGCTCAACAAACAACTACACGTATTCTGTTCTTGTAAATATATAATTAATGTATATGATGTATTATTACACCTTTTATAATATGAGGAGGTGCGTGTTTGTAACAAACGTAACAAAGGGATGCTGACGCTGAAAAACAGCTTGTTGAGGCATCTTTTACGTAAGGCAACGTATTTGCGCAGAAAGAACCATGTCCTGACCAAATTGACGATAACCTACATTGACCAATTGACGAGCGTGGGTGCCCGCCTTGACCCCTCCATCCCCCACAAATGTCGGAGCCACGGTAACAATCAGCTGATCCACACAACTGCTGTCAAGGCATGACTGAATGATCTTGGCCCCGCCTTCCACCATAAGTCGCGTGATTCCTTGCTTTTTCAAAACCTCAAATACCGTCTCCAAGTTTGCCCGACCAGTGTTCTCGTCTTTTCCTGAATGTGCTTGCTTTGTCAGCTTTTCCTGCTTCCTCCCCACGCCTCCCTACCCAATTGTCCCCGTCCCTCCTTCCCTGTCATGCCTTTGTTTGCTTTCTTGTACCTGTAATATGAATAATGTGTACACCTGCTTCCGTCAATGCTTTCTATATAGATGCAAGTAAAGATATATAGAAAACTTTAAGGACGATAGCGAACAGATCATATACCAGTGACATGGAGAGTGTTCTTACAGCAGCGGGATTAGAATTCGATGCTGTGGTAACGATCCACGGTCTTCGGCCTGAGCCGCTTTTGAAATTCTTGATCAGTTTGCAATCCAACGGCAGTTCAAGGCGGTTATCGAGAACAATAGGCTGCGGCTGTCTGTACGATTCAAGATCAGACGCGGGAACATGTCGAGCTTTTTTTTACATTTTAAATTGATTAATAATGGACGCGTCATTAAATCATTAGGTCATATTTGGTTGTCGGGAGATCTGCCTTTAGTTATTTTTTTACCATTAAGTTGTGGATTATCAACACGCGCTGTTCCTATGCCCACCAAAATGCCGTCATGAAGCAATCGTAATCTATGCGTTGTATTCGGTATTTGAGTTTGTCTAGACTCTTTTGATAAGACTCAATGATTGTTTGTACCTATGCGTCATGGCCATACTTTCTGGACCACTCAAAAGCAGCTGTTCTCCTTGTTTGGAAATCATCCCATCCAGGCTCTGTGCATAGGTCAATGTAACAAAGGGACGCGCTTCCGAGGATGATTGACAATTTGCTGCGTATATCCCATCGAGAAACCCTTTGGCATCAGCATAGCGTGCATCCATTTTAGGAAATGTGGGAGAGTGAGAAAAAAGGCGCAAGGATATATAAAAGAGATGCTCTGTGCTCCTTCATGAAACCATGTATCACAAGAAAATTTTTATGTAAGCATGCAGTGTTATACATAAAACACTTCTTGCCCCTAGTTTCTCTCGGTTTCCAAATATGCAGTTTCAGGGCAACGCACTCTCTTTCTGCTGTTCGTTTCTACTAAGCTGTGGCATTTACCGCGCAATCACATTGTTGGTCCCTCTAGCACTGTGAATGTTACAATCGTTGCACACTATACTGCGCTACGTAAGTTTTGTAGAGAGGGTATATAAGCGATACTACCATATCTATTAAAAAAAAGCTGACAAACTTTCAAAATTGATGGACGTATGATTTTATCGTATACTTTTTAAGCTAGCATCGTATATGTCGCTGTTTTTGCTTATGCACGCAAAAGATGACATATCATCATGCTGATCTGTAAACAACAACATTTATATCGCATTATCGCCACATTTTCTTTTATACCTTCTGTTCTTTTTGTGACTCTTTTAAAAGCAACGTTTCTTAATATACAGTAGCACGACGAATAATTTCCGGTGTACTACTTTGTGATGGTGATTCGTCATGGGTAGTTGTAATAATAGCGAATAAGTGAGGTTCTTACCGTATATATATATCTGCTGCTGAACCGTTTGTGAGAGCGTGAAATAGCCTTAATACAGCATACACGTTTCTATCTATGGGATGACAATGTTGATCATGATGTGTAATTAAATGAGCCTGTTACTGTAAGAGGTAATGTGGTGATAAAAGTTAGCCAAGCGACGCACATCTGTACATGAGCACCTCTTCCACAAATGTTGACTGTTGCCATAGGTTTAGCTATTCTTCTTCATCAGCCGACCGTCAATTTCCAATCTACTCGCGGTTTTTTGCAGCTGCTGCTGGTAAATGATATCGTCTGGAGTTCTGCTATGTTAATGTTGCTATCATATTGGGGCTGGAGTGAAACATGTATACAATGTGTTGGTTCTATATGGTCGCCATCATGAACTTGTATACCAAACAACCAATCTATCATAAAATAGAGATGAGACGAGAGTTTTTCGGGCGTTGTGCATGAATAAAGAAGGATCTGCATGTCTGTGTCTATGCAAAGGATCAAATCACTTTGTTATCGCTACAGCTGTCGCATACATACTAAATGCTGAGCGAATTTAGTGCATACTGCTCTAATAAAACATAATGTCGAGAGAATAGTGAATTAGTGTATACTGATCATGTTCAGGTATCTATGTGGCGAACCAAGGCTGGAATAATTATTTTCTCGCATCCCTGAGACCAGTACTCTCAAGTACCAAATTATGACCATAATATACAATTTTTTCACAGATAAATTTAGAAAAGTACTATCGCTTGTGGATTCAAAGGAATAAGCATTTAATGCATTGCTCCCCTTTGAAACCCAAGTGCACTTTAAAAAAACAGTAGTACTCCGCCGGCCTATTTTATAATAGAGCTGAAAACGCGGGATGCTCTGACAGATTGTGCCTATTATATTCCCCCCTTAAAAAAACACTATGTCAAGCTTGCGTATGGTAACGTATCGACTTATTGTACCCTATAGAGCCAAATCAAAACGTCATCATTCTAATAGATGTCATCAAAGCTTAATCAGCAGTCCGAAAACGAAGCCGAAGTCGAGGTATCTTGGACCGATCAACAGAACATTAACGCATTCAGCAAATTAAACGCAAAGATTGACGATCTCGAAGAGCAATACGAAAAGCTAAAGGTAAATCTCAGCATCTTGGCTTTTTCTTCTTCGTGTGGGCTACCCGTGAGAACCAAGCCGAGTCAACGCGCGTTCTCAACATTTATGTCTATTTTATTTTTTTCCTGGAAAAAAAATTAGCAAGAAAAGGAGTATCTGGACGACGTGTCTATGGAATTAGAGCTGGCAGACGAAGACGAGCCGATTCGACACAAAGTAGGCGACGCGTTTGTACATATTCCCGTGTCTGAAGCTTTGGAGCGCGTGGAAAAGGATACAGAAAAGCTCAAGCTCCAAATGGAATCGGTTGAAAGTGATATGGATTCGGTGCAAAACAAAATGTCAGAACTCAAAAAGGTGCTCTATGCGAAATTCGGCAACTCCATCAATCTCGAAAAAGACTAAAGGATCATATATATTTGTAATAAAAAAAAATCTAAAAGACATCACTTTCACCATCAAATGGATAAGTTATGTAACCTACATTGTCGGGACACAGTCATAAGAACTTATCTGCAATTATCTTCAAACTTGACAAAAATAGAGATGTCTATGACTAGACCAGTAGTGGGCTTGCAGTCGCGCAATTCTTCATAGCGCATAATAGCCATTGGATTTAACTAAGTATTTTATCAAGGAGACAGAGTATGACTGAGTCAAAGACATTGATAATCACGAAATAGATGATCCAGGTCCCTACTCTCAATGGTTCCACTTATCAGCAAGTCCCATTCAGAACAAACTTGCCCGAATTGCTTCTTTGTGAGGTTACAGAGCGAGGTGTCCTATTACCTCGATTTTCCGGTAATATCGGACGCATCAGCAAGCACTTCGAAGCGCTACTGCTAACTTAATCATATATGGTCCGAATTGAAGCGCTCTACTGTTTATCGTCACTTCTTCTCACGATCACTATCAGTTGTCAGAGGAAGAGAAAGGTACTGTCTGTACAGCCGCTGACGTAATGAGTACCCTCGTTGCCATAACACTACTCAATAAAAGAAGTCCATTGATTCAAACAATCATATTTTGGGCTGTGGTGACATGCGTTACTTGACAGGTAATCATTTTGTCTATCCATGTGAATGACGTTCTCAACCTTATACGTATATGGCAGATGTGAAGAAATAGCTATTTAGACAATAAAAATAATTCATAAATATACTTGGCTCTTATAGTACTTCACATGAGTAGTAAACGAACAGTAGCGACACTTTGACATGTGAGTACAGCAAAAATATTTTTATATGATAATAACAGACCATCACCTTGACTTGACGCTTTATCCCAGCTCATATCCATCGTCACAATTCAAGCCCTATTTTCACGATATTCCATACTTGGCGCAATTTCGCATTAGCTGCAGCATGATTCTTACTATGCTGCTGTTTAGCAGCCGATCAGATGCAGATAACAATCACTGTGGCGACAATCGCTGTGACTTCAAGCATGCTGTTTGTCGCTATAATTCAACACACTACTGGTTTCCCAACCTATCTATGCGGCTTAATTTTATGTGGAAAAATCAGAGCGCAATCATCTATTAAAACAATCGTTACCACCAAAACGTTTCTTCCATTTTTTGGCTTTGCTACCAAAGCCATTTAATAATTATTTAATAAAACTTGAAATCCAAGCATGTTCTGTTGAGAGCGAGTCTTTCTCCTCATTTGTTTGATTTGCTTTTTCTTTATGTATATATGCCTAGATATGAGCTTTAAACGACTACAGACGTTTCGTCTTGGTGGATTCCTTTGATATCGGCAAATACAGCCTTGATGCGCTCATCAATGTCATCGGTGAAAACAACCGTCTCCATGGTCGTTAAGAAACCACTGCACTCCTTATGATACTAGTTATATACGGAGATAAGGATTTTAGCAATCTTTCTGGCATCCTTTACACTATTTTATCAAGTACTTACGAGTCGCATGATCTCTCGGTACCATCCAAAGATCCAGCGATAGGTCCATGTCAGCTCAACATCCGGTCCTGAGGTGGAGGATGTCAATCGCTCCTGCAACACCTGGACGAACTTTTGATATGCAACGATGAACACTTCTTTCTGTTCCCGGGTTACTGTCGACAAAGAGTTTTCCATCAGACGCAAGGTATCAAGTTCCTGCTGTGCTTCGGCCTGGGCCACTGTTTATACATGTACTATTTAGTTAAAGCATGATCTCCTGGATGATGTTCTGGTAAAAGTAAGGTTGGAAATGATCACTTTACTTTCTGTCAATGTTTCATTTGCGCGCTTGGCCTCGTTTTCGGTATGCATTTGCTGGCAGCTTTCGAGCTTGCTCTTGACTTGCGCCACACGCGTAACCACCTTGTTCAGGGTATTTTGAAGGATTTCCCAAACGAATGCCCTAATTTGGTTGACGTTTTGACCATGATTAGCCACTTTCTCTCACTATAAGGGGACCTTGTCTTACCGCTCAGCGTGTTCGAGCTGCTGCTTTTCAAAAGCCCAAATAATCACTGAGCTGGGATCAATCACTCTGTAGTTCAGTAATTTATCAAGCAGAATACCGAGGAACTACATGTGCATATTTACAGACATAGATTAGAATTGGATAGATTTCTCTCAGATTAATACCTCCTTCCACCATCCATTTTATGATTTACTTGAGAGTTATGTTTCCAGAATGTTGCAACAACATGGACTGTGTGTACTCGTGCTTCTGGTGTGGCGTTGACGAAACGTAAGACTTCAAGGTAGCGTTCAACAACGTTCAGTACGTGCGAGAAACTTTTGCTACCAACAAGAAGCATGGCTTGTACGAATAATTCGTGTGTAAGCTTTGTCTGCTCTTGTCCGTCAGCACCTTGACTGCCTTGCTCTTCTTTGAATCGTTCTAGAATAGCCTGAATATCGTCCGAAGACTTTTTCGATTTCATGCCATTGATTACTTCCTTTGCAGAGTCGTGTAACGGGTGGTCACCGTTCTCGTACTCAAAATCAGGTCCTGGCGGTTGTGATGGTATAAGAGCATGGAACGGTTCAGGGACAGTGCTCTTAATGCGTTCATAGTAGCTAAGGCGGATGTCCTTTTCAAGCGTCTCGCGGATGAAGCAAACCTTGGGATGAGCGGGGTCGAGTGATAACGAGCTTTGCCTAAATTTATGGTACAATAATTTAACCGAGTAAGTGACCTCATTATTGTCTTGCTGCATATACAATAACCCAGAAAGTAAAGCTCCTGTTTCCACACTCTTATTACCATGCAGCCCAATCCCATTGGAAACCAAAGTTGCTCAAGTGGTGAGCAAACCATGGAGAGAACCGATAGATGCATGCAGTGTCCATATCTTCAATGTTGTCAAATATGACCTTGACAGCTCTGCCTAAAGCCATCGGGAACGAAGCACTATCGGCACGACAAAGTTCTGCAAGAACGCATGTGTAGAAGACTTCGCGGTACGGAGCTGATGGAACATCGAGCATTTGCGAGAAAATATTCTATATATATATTAAAAAACCAGGCGTGAGCAGATGTTTCATAGAAAAACAAAGTGCGAGAGAGGATACTCGTTTGATTTTACCTCAATGAGAACATCGGCCAGATTCCATCCAGCTTGATCCTCTTCCATACGATCATTCTCCGAATCCTGCTGTTGAGTGTTTGAGCCGAACTTTCCAGGTTCAAAGTTGTTTCCTATAGCAAGCAGGTATTTGCTACATTCTTTACGGTTCGATTCAAAAATGTGGATTGTATCCATAATGATATCTTGTAAAATGAAGTATTCTAAGCCGTCATGATCTGGTACGTTGGGAAGAGACTATAAAAAGATCATCAACCTTGTTAACAACAGCATACAGCATATCATATACAGCTACAAGCGTGGCTCATCTATAAATCTGTGCCATATATACACATGAATGTATGCGTTTATGTGTACCTTGCCACTTTCATCGACGTTGACTCTGAGAGGACGCGATGGCTTAATATATGCAACCGAATCGGTATGTTTTGGCGTTTCGATACTGGGAATATCATGCTAATTATCATAGACGTCATGATGATTAGTGTCTCTTTTTTGCCTCCACTTTTTTCAAGAAAACCATGTACCTGCAATGTCGAGCTGAATTCCTTGTCAAACCATTGATAAGGCTTGGGCAGCAAAGGAACATCCCATCCCTTATCACGCAGCTCTTTTACCAAGGACCATAGATGCATCAGCTCCTATATATTCTGTAAGTTAGCGACATGATCATACCAAAGACTCCATCGAGTACATTTCCAATCACACTTAAATCTTACATCACGTTGCTTATCATCATGGCTACCACTTCGATAACGTCGTAAAATATCCCGGTTTGGAATCTCACCACGTCGGTTCATATATGATTCGATTCGGTTCAAGATTTCATCCAGTTGTCCGCCGTTTCGCTCGCTAAGTTCTTTGCCGCTCTATACGTATATATTTTATCAACATTAGCTTGATCAAGTTTTCCCTTTGATTTTAACATTTATCTTCTTACCCAAGGCAATGTGGAAAGGATGACATAAATGATACAATCGAGTCGACGCTAATGGGTTATATATCAGTAACGCATTTAGTTAATCTTAAGCTCTGAATCCAAATCCAAAAATCGTTCGAAAACACAGACTTACTCTTGGTTGATTCGATTCATCCAAAGCAGACAATATAGTGCTGATCAAATCACAGTATGATGTTGGCAGAATCACATTGGCGTTCACCAATTCACCATAGAATCGAAGCAATTGCTTGAATTTGAACCAGTCCGCGTCCGCCACAGCTTGTTTAAGCATATCATTGACCTCGTACATGAGCTTGCCCACCAATTCATGGCTAGATAAGTTCAACAAGCCAAACAATGTGCCATACACGGGTGCCTTGGCAGGTAGTTCTGAGACACTAAAAGGTGTATAGGTTAATTCTTGTTTGTCAATAAGGGGCGCGTCTAATAGCAGTGTTAGGCGATGTGATACTTTACCATGCTTTCAAAGTGTCTTTGACAGTATCAGGATACTTTGCATAGTCATTGTCCAGAATGTTTTTCATTTTGTTGAGATTGATACGAAGGTCAGACGAGAACTACAAGAAAGCACGGGTTAAAGCCAGAGTTTCTGTAGTGCAAAACGATCCAAATCATTCTTTCAGACAAAAAGATTTTATGTATACCTTATCACCAATCTTGATGATCAAACCACGCAAACGCACTTCAATATCCTCGGCTTCGTCATCTCTAGAAGGAGAGGGTGCACGGTTGCGTCTATACCCGCCACCTCCTCTGCGATCGTCTACCAAACATCAGCGATCAGCTCTTATTCTGTCCATGATTTCACAGTTGTTGGACAGGGAAAAAAAGTGACGGATTTACTTACCTCTGTTATAACGACGATCGTTGTAGCTACCGCCGCCACCACCAGATCTTCCATAGCGATGACCACCTAATATTAATATTGAATCAGCCTATTGATCTGATATCTAAAAGTTCATATTGACGGTTCTCTTTTTCGAATCTACCTTCTTGGCGCGATCGTTGGTAATAACTCATTTTGTGTTTCGTTCCGTTGCAAAGTTCGCGACTAGCGCGTATTTAAAAATTTATATGTGCTGGATTAAGCTCAAACCACAGAAGGGCGGGGGGACTGTTGCATGGATTAAATTGTATAGATAAGCTTCCTCACTATTATTCATGTTGTGGGGAAAGTATTAGCAAAAGACACAGTCGAGCGTTCTGGTTTCACTATTGCGCAAAACCGAGCTTTGAGAACAGTTTATCTGTATACGATGTGACGTACTACATAATGATGTTACTCGACAGACAGCTGGCACCATACTATGTTTCTATAAACCTGTTGAAAGGTAATAAAATGAGCCCTTCAACGGCCTCATGTATATGATATGTGCGTTTAAACGTCTTAATTATTTTTTAGGCCACCTCATTTTCTATGGCACAGTAAGACAAGACCGGCAAATATTTTTTTGACAGGTTTCCTTAAAGTGTTCATAAATAAGAAGAGAATGTATACTTCCGTGAGTACCATCCAATTCGTTTTTTAGGGATGACTATATATTATATGAAAGGCACGAGTAGCTTTTGCTGCCGCTGATGCTGCTTTGAAATGTACCCACTTACGATGTGTTGCCTCTTTTTACGAACAGCACAATTATCCCACATGTCGACCACCCCCTCCTTCTTTTTCCTTTTAGAGCGATGCAGTAATGGTTATGTGCAAAGGATTAGGCCTAATCCTTTCTCTTCCAACACTGTTATGAGCCATCATCTAATCCAACGCCTTCCGTCCTTTCTCTCCTCCTCCTTCAAATACAGTGAAACATGGAAACCCCAAGTAACATACAAAAACATACGCAAGCTATCCGGGCCTGGGAATGTTTTTTTATATATAACATAATTGGTTATTTTTCGTTTGTACTGCAAGTTAATCGAATGCTCTAATGGTGTTCGACGTTCTTGTGGTGCTCTATTAAAGGTAGCAAAAGTATAGAAATATACGTAATTAGAAAATCTCGTTCTCGTTTCAACAATTTTGATAGTGTTATTCCGTAAGATAGTAGAAAAACGTACTCAAGTGGAAGTGGTAGTCGATGCTGTAACCAGCGACGAAGACACCGAACAAAAGGTGAAGCAAGGGGACAACCGAAGCGTTGTCACCATCAATGTACTTGGCCTTGTAGCGACCGAAAAGACCAGAGGGCTTGGGAGCCTCAGCAGCACCCTTGGGCAATTGCTAATTGCAATTATAATAAAAATACGCGTTTAGATTCAAATAAATAAATAAAAACTCGAAAAAATAATAATATTCGAATTATACAAAAAAGAGAGAAAAAAAAACTAACCTTGTAAAAGTTGACAAGCTGACCAATCTGGGCATCCTTGCCAGAGCCAGAGACCTTGGTGGCGGCAGCAACGTTAGGGGGGATGAGAGACTTGGTGCTGTAGGCACGGCGGAAAACGGTGCTCATGGCGTTCATTTTTGTATGCTATGCGGAAAGGGGAGAGGTTCGAGTGAAGTTCGAGGCCTGGGTAGGTAGCTAAAAAATTTCCCTCTTCGTTGCCAGGGTTCTATACAACGTCACCCCAATTGCCTGCGCTTCAATAAGTTCTCACCGCTGATTGGCTGGTGCCTCATCAGTCACGGGATTCGAAGCCCGCGTTCTGTCCTTGTTCTTTTTTCTTGCCTCTCGAGAGATGCTGCGCTTCCAGCTATTGCATATGCGTACCTGGTTACTCTTGACATATTTGAAAGCACAAAAACAGCAACAGCAAGACCTTGACACTAGCTACTCATTACCAATTTAAGGAAAAATACGAGTTCAGATGTTGGATTACTTATCATCTTCCTTTGCTATCTTTCGTCGCTATACAGTATGTGGCCCTCTAAACTCGGGCTAGTTGTAATGAAGCTAGCAGAGTAGCTTGAATCACTATTGCTCTTAGCTCACATCGCTCATATTTAATTTTGTTGCCCCTGTAACTTTCCTCCTACTTGATCACATAAGATTATAATGCATGGATGGTAAACGCAGACTGTGGGATTTATTTCATGGTGTTATGGACAGGGATTCCTGCTTCTGCATACAAGATTCTGGTGCAGTACTAGGTAACTAACGCTCGCGCACAGAGTGAATGCGTGAGCAGTAATAGGGCTCTTGTCATCGGAACAATAGGATAGGCCACTCTTGGAGCATTAAATGAAGATGTTTATTTATTTTAAAGCAAATACCGTATCGTACGTACCCGATTTTCATATGCTCTTTATGAAATCCGGGAATTACCAAAGGACAATACACAGCATTTGTAGTTGGTCCGAGGCGAGACTCTGACTTTTCTGTATTCTACATGGCTAATCTCGTAGTACAAATAATCGTTTGCTAGAGAACGGCTTTGGTATTGATGAAATCGATGATGCTGTCGCCACTGTCGACCTTGCCGCTGCTGCTCTTCAAGCCCCCTTCCTCGTAGTACTACGGTACTGTTATCATCATAGCTTGGTATCATTATCGTATATCGTCATGTATGGACTCCTGCATTAATGCTTTGAAGCAAACAGACAGTATGAATAGCATTTGTAATCAAAAGAGCCATCAAGTCTTCTGAGCAACTCTTATTTGGATTGATATTGTAACCAACAGCGAGAAATTGTTCCGCTGCACTGAGCCCCACCTTGAGCATCAATTCTCGTAGATTTTCTAATTGGTCGACCATGATGACAAAACGCGTGAGGTGATGGTTTTTCCCGGTTGTGTCCTTAAGAGTCAATGATCGCAACGACGACCCACTACTACGGTCGTCGTTCTTCTGGCGTCTTTGTTTTATAAATTAATCATGCACTCTTCTTTTATTTTGTAGTAGCAGTGAGCGAGCACCAGTTCTTGTAAATGATGCATGGAAGCTATCGATGATGTGAGCACAGTATCATCCAGGTCATCGATTTGACGCAATTCGACATTGGTGAGAATGGGGTGCTCACCCGTTGAAATAGCAAACGTACAACAGACGAGCTGGCCATTGGTCACATCCAGGATTGTTTCGGCATTGAGTAATCTATTGATGATAGTGTAGAATAAGCGAGGCGTGTAAGCACCACATCGTTTACGGTGCCTGTGCCTGCATGGTCAAGCGATGCGAGTTGCTTATAGAATCGCTCGACCAGTGACTCACATATGCTACAAGAAAAGGCAGCGTAATTCTCTTCGTGAAGTACTAGATTTTGTGATCTTAGTTATTGCCCTGGTTGTTCTTGATGTGATAATAGTGCTGACATTCCGTTGTTGCTAGCATGGTCCCCTGGCAACTTTGTTGTCGGAGTGCTGTTGACAGCGCTGCCTTTTCCTCGTTGCTGCTCATCGCGATAGTGATGATGCAGGTCGTCGTGTTGATAAAGAACGAGGGTCGTCAGCTCAGAACAATGCTCATGTAGAAATTCTTAGGTAGCATTGAGCCATGTAGTTGTAAACGATTGAAATATGGTGACAAGCGACGCGGGCGAGGTACCGACGCCAGGAATGCTCTTAGATCGAATGTGTCAAACTCGGCAAGGTTGTAATGTTCGAGTGACATGTCACTGAAAGCAACATGGTCGAAATCTTTCATCCAGTCGTTTAACCGCGACTATGCACCTATCCTTGATAATACAGTCTGGTCAATTGGGCAGTATCATAGCAAGATACCGAACTGATATTGTTGGTATCCGGTGCGAAGGATCTTTTTCAATGTATTATTGCAACCGTTAACCAAAGTTGCGAGCTATGTCTCTGTAAAGACCTGCACTGAAAGATCCACTAGTAGATAGTAAAAAAGGTAAAAGTAGGGGCAGTTTTGCAAATGAGCACTAGTTCTCCCGCTATCCTTTTCATGCATGCTCTACAGCAAAGACATCACATCTCTTTTGATCCGATCTAACAGATTCATATTCACTCTGACTAGTTGCATGATATTTCTGACTCGCAAAGCTCGTCACTCGGATTACTGCAAAATCGCTTGATCGTTCCCACACTGATAAAACCAGTACTGTATACGGAAGCGAAACTGGCACTATAGCACGAAGGTCGTTTGCAGATAAGCATCTCCTCAATGACTGTCAGTTCAAAATCGGGGACCGCCACGTTCTACACACCCGCCAATTACTAACATTCCCGTAATGCCAAGTGTTGGAAAAGCTCTTCCTGAGTCTCGAGGGGTAAGGTCGAAAGCGTATCGATAGTATCGTTTATCATGTTTCTGCAGCTACCGCATAAAAAGAGAAGAGTAACCTTTCCTATCGAAGCAAGTGAAATGCTTGGCTCTTTAGAAATGAATAATATCACAAAACAACTCTCTGTTACATTACAAATATGTGTGTGGCATGTAACTTTCTCCCCTCATCCGTTATGGGACACTTGAATAAACTTTCAAGATGCTTCTGGATGGACATGCGCAGTAGTCTGTTTCCTACATTACCCATAACAAAAGAAAAGATATAGTAAAATAGCCATCCAATCCCTGAATTCATGGCCAACAATACCCCTTATCTTGCGTCTAATCAATGATGATCCAGTCAATTGTACAAATTGTTAGCTCACAAACTTTTACAGCAACACCATCCAGCTGTACACGCAATGTAAACCGGTTGAAAGTGGTAAATACGACAGATGATATGTATGATGTACGTATAAACAGCAAGTTTATCAAAGATAAGAAATAAAATTACAAGACTTTGCTAGATTCTCCTTTTCGAAACTCAAGTTTCTCCACCTTGACTTCACCATCTACCAATTTGTATACATAAGTAACCACCACACTGGCTTGAATGTCCATCAGTACGAACGAGGGTATAGGTTCACTTTACAACAAAAGATATTTGCGGGTTAGTTAAAAGATAATATTGACGCTCGAGCCTCTTTTTCTTGAACTCTGTTCCATCCAAAGTGTAAAAGAGTCACACAACATACGCTGAATCAGGAATCGATGAATAAGCACCGGTGGCACTGCCAGGGTTGATAAAGAACTTGTTATTGCTTTCAAACGCGTCGAAACGATGGGTATGGCCCGTCAACAAAACATCCACCTCCATCTGTCGTGCAATGATATCCAGCGACTCTTGATCACCCCAAGGAATTACTTGGTGTCCATGTAGTACGCCCACACGAATATTTCCATGCGTTACTACTTTGCTTTGTGGAAAGTTTGGATTCTATATACACATAACGACACATCCATATTGTGAGTTTGAAGGAGAAAAAACACCTCTTACTTTTATCTTGTGGAATTCCAACAATGCGCTATTTTCCTCTACTAACTTACCTCGTCGAAATCACCCTTTACAACGATGATGTCACCTGCAATGGTTCTGAAGTAATCATAGGTTTCCTTGTCACAAATGTTGCCTGTACAAATAATTTGTTGGATTTTACCGGGAACCTGTTTTTCTTTCTTTTGTAAGTTTTTCTTTGCTCTCTAATGGATACACAACACTGCGTTATGATTCAAAAGTACCAGAAGCTTTTTGAACTTGGAAGGCAAATCGTGCACGCGATGAGGAATATGGAGATCACCAATAACTAGTACTAACTATTATATATTTTTTATAACAGCACGAGCGTTAATACAGCTAAAAAAGAGTTCTATAAAGCACGGCACTTTTCAATCTTTTTAACAAATTCATACCACCATCTTTTGGTTCAAGTAGAAAGGCTATATCTGTGCAGCAACGTGAAACTGCAGGAAAATTGGCGGGGTGCTCAACATTGTAACATTGTCACCTCAAGAAAAGACCGACGTCCATACGTCATGTGTGCATTCGCTATGTAGGATGTTCTATTCAGGATATTAACTAATAGTTTTGAAAAGCTTATCGTACTGCTAAGAGAAATAATCTTTTTTGACAAATAGTCATCAAGAATCGCGTAATTATCAGAGATAGTTCGCTTACTGAAGAAGATGAGTCCATTCCACTGACTACTACAGCTGTATCTCATTCACACTAAAAATTAGATACGTCTGATGTTGATTGTTCGAGTAAACGCTTTAAGTAGCATATATACTGCGTATGTGTTTGTAATACTTGTAAGCAATGCAGCGGACAGAACACCACCTTCATTATTCCATTTCTTATTTAATACAACTCGTAGCTCTGATACTACATAGCGATACTCGCTTTCGCACCTAGTGGCTCTATTCGAAAGCGACTGATTGTTTTAGAATAAACTATACGAAGATAAAGGCTTACAATATATAGCAGCTAAAAGGGGTATCCATTTTTACACACATGGTTTTATAGCACGACTACATACTAGCCATTACACCGCCACATAATAGTATCCCCCATTGTCACTGGTGTAGTAGTGATGGTCGTTGACTCGCGCTATAAGAGACCTAAGTATGGAAAGCTGTCCTTAAGTGTACAAGTACGTGTTTCATTGACATCCAATCAGATCCCGCCTTTCTCCTCAGAAAATTGATTTCCCAGAGTTATGTATGCAGCAGAGGGCTCTTTTCTACCTTTTGCCAATTACAACGAAAAGTGACACTATGGACAGCTCAGGTCCATCAGGTAAAAAGAAGCTTTAGATATAAAACACATTGTCATTGATGAATGAATTAACCGTGTCAAGGCTTTCGCAATGCCCCGGTGACAAAATTCCTGGTTCAGATTATAAGCGGCTGCTCGCTTGCAGTAACATTGCTTCATGGTCGCTCTTCACCAGCACTACGTTATCCTGTATGTCTTTGTACTCAATGGAAGCCTTTTTTCAATAGGAAAACGTGAAAACTAAAAGAAAGATTTCTACTACTATCTGATAGCTATGGCGAGGGCTAAGTTCTGTATTGGCATTTCCAGCACTTGGTCCAGGTGTTGTTGGTACCTTTCTAATTTACCGAATGCGAGTCATTGAGCGTTTTTATGGCAGCCCGAAATATGCTGTATGTGATCCCAATCATGATGAAACAGGCTTAAAAATCCACTTTAACTTATTGTTTATCCATTGACATAACAGGCATATCTCTTTTTCTCGATGATGACTTCACTCATATTTCAAGTTGGATTCAAGTCGTATAGCGGACCTCACGCGTTGGTGTTTGCCATGCTATATCAATACCATCATATCGTGCCTGTCACTTCACGCTTCCCTGTGGCAGCAGGTGTAGTGTTGACTGACAAGATGTATGTGTACATGGCGGCGCTTCAACTGCTGCTTTCGCCTACAACGATCGCTCCAAGTTTGTGTGGATTGGTTGCTGGTATGATGTACCACACAAACGTGGCGGATATTCAACGGTGGCGCTTTCCTCAGTGGATGTTCCCAAAAAGACCACCACCCACTGCGACCCCGAGTGTTCCCGTTTCTCCGCGTCATCAGCGCCGCCCTGGTCAGCAGCGGCAGCAGCAGCAACAACAGGTTGGGATCTTATTTTGCAAAGGAAGCGAGGGTTGTATATAAGCTTAATAATATCGGGATATTTATTATATGATAGCCGGTCGTATCTGAAGATAATGTAAATGCAGTTGCCAGCATGTTTCCTGACCACTCACGCGACGCGGTGACGAGTGCACTAGTTGCAGCACGCAACGACATGAACCAAGCTGCCGAGATCTTATTGACCACTTCATCACAACAATCATAGTAGCAACAACTCCAACAACGACAATAATGTCCATTCCTCCTTTCTCTACGGCACCCGTTTAAAAGAGATTTAGCATAACCTACACACCAGCCGGTCATATATCCGTTGTAAAATGATAAATATATATATCGGGATGAGTTTATAAACATATAAAGTGAATAAAATAAGGAGGTTGCTGGATGGATGATGCTTATTCATGGGCTAGGATGTTTCTATGTAGTTGAAAAGAATAAGGGGTATAATGACATGTGGTCACATGATAACGAGTCAATGTTTAAATGTGGATTCATACACGTATACACAGATGTCCAACTTTTAACAACTTTACCTTGGTCGTTGTTGTTGACGGTTGGATGCAGAATTAGACAAGGTCATACCGGCTGTTTGCTGTGTGAGGCCATCCATTTCTTGGTGACTTAACAGGTTTTGGGTTTCCTTGGGGGAAGCCCGTCGACTTGCAGGATTGTTGTTGTTGTTGTTGTTGTTACCTGTTGATTCGGCGTGGCCAAAGCTGAACGATGAATCTAACCTGCTGGGGTTATGGGCAACGAGAGGTTTCGGGGCAGGTGGTTCGTATGCGAAAATGTTTCGAGCTGGTTCATGCAAATTACGACGGACTGAGTGGCTCACTTGATCTTCAGGTCGGATAGGCCCAAAGATGCGACCAGGGGCTAGTATAGCAAGCAGCACACATTGCCAGGACAATTAAGGAGAAGGATAAATAAACAAGGAAATGATATGCAGCATGCAAGAGTAACGGATTTGGGTAATAATAATAACCTACCGTCAATGGCGAGTGTCTTTTTACTTGTGGGTGCTGGCGTAGGAGAAGCAAGCGCATCGTTAGGAGCAAATGGATTGAGCTGGACGAGCGAGGGGTTCCTCAACGCATCAACCTCCTCGCCACCCCGCACCGGCCATTTTTGACGATCGGTAATCACCCGCAACTGCTTCAAGACTGAGGCCTGGTCCCACAGTACGCGCAGTACAGAGATCAAGTCGCCTTCAAATGTAGCCGAGATGACCTAAAAGATAAAAGAGGCCCATAAATCAGCACTCGTCGTCATTTGTCACGGATAATTAGTGCATGATATGTAGCTGTGGTGATACATATGCAGGTAGTAATAACAATGATAATTATAAGGAGAGGGAATCTATCTTTACCACTGGCACCTTCACCGTACAGTTGGACTAATATACACAACATCGATCGGTTACACAATGTAATTAAGCCACGTGTCACACGCTAGAATGAGCTTTCTATTGCTGCTGCTACTACTTTACCAGCACACCCTCGTCAAGGGTCGGGACAAGCCAGGCACATTCAGTGCCGTCACCAAAGGTGACGGTCCAGTCGGCTTCTTCGATAAGCTTGCTGCCTTGTTTGACTGTGTGATGCACTTGTTCGTGCACGGTCGTTGCTTTGAAGTCCGGCTGCAGATAGAACCGACGAATTTGCGCGCTGCCTCTCGCTCCAGCACCAGAGGGGACATATATCACAGTGGCGTCGTCGGTATACAACGCTGTCGTTGCAGGCTTAGTTTTGTACGTTGACCATGTAGCGTCCATTATTATTTTATTATAGCAAGAATATAAGCGTAATGAATTTTGTTTTGTTATTTGCTGTGTATGAAAGATGGAGTGGCGGAATGGGAAAGAGGGAAGAAGGAAGAGGAGAGAAAAGAGAAAGAGGAAGAGAGAGAGAGAGAGAGAGAAAGGGCAAAACGATTGTGCTCCTTAACAAAAACCTAATTTTTTTCTTTTTTGCAAGCGAGTACAAAAGTGGAGCTTTTGTGCAATTGTGCTATCCTCACCCCGTTCACTAAGTCATACAAGGAGGGTGATTTACAACATTTTTGGGTATGGTGTTGGAGCTGTGATTTCCTTATGATCTCCAAGGAAGCGTGACGCGCATTCTGGATGAATGCCTGCTCGAGGTTGTTGCTGGCGACGCAACAGCAGCAGCAACAGAAGAGGACGCGGTGTTATCCTGGTGATAATGCTGATGATGATGGTAATGCACTTGCTGAACGTCGTCAGCCGATGAAGTGGACCTTGGACGCACCATGGTGGTTGCTGTGGGAGAAGGTGGTGCAGTGCTGGTGGCTCTGAAGCCGTGCATCAGATCGCGTACGGCCCTGCTTCGTCTCAGACTACGATTTGGGTGTGACAGTGTATTATCGCTGGGAAGATTCATGCCCGTGGACAATGGACGGCCGTGCTCGCGTAGCGATGCAGATGCACTCAGTGGCAACGAAGTTGTGCGATTGCGACTATTGCGGGAAAGGAAGGGCAACCGGCTCCCCCTAAACCCCGGCGCTGGAGATGATCGACGGGGAGGTGGAGAGAGCGGAGTGCTATTGCTTTGACGCGGTTCGGGCTGTGTAACCATCGCCATCGCTGCCGTTGTAGGCACTACTGGAGAGGATGATGCTGGTGCTGGTGCTGGTGCTGGTGCTGGCGCAGACACTGGTGCTTGTTCTGACGGTGGTGCCACTGCTACTGCGGTTGGCGCTGCTATTGGCGCTGGCACTGGTGCTACTGCTACTGTTGCTGGCGTTGTTATTGGTGCTGGTGCTGGTGCTTGTTCTGATGGTGGTGCTACTGCTACTGCTGTTGGCGTTGTAGTTGGTGCTGGCACTGACACTGATGCTACTGCTACTGTTGTTGGCACTGTCTCTGCTGCTTGTTCCGGCAATGATGCTACTGTTACCGTTGCTGTAGGTAATGTGAGCTCTTGTTGCTGTTGATTCGGTGGAGCAGGTGATGCTGAAGACGAGCTAACGGAAGAAGCATGCGAAACGGAAGTAGTTGAAGAGGTCAAGGCAGGAAGAGGTGATGGCAAAGAGGATGCTGATGATGGAGCATCATCAATACTGACACTACTACTACCGGAACGATGGTAGGAGGAGGTAGTAAGAGTAGCGGATAAGGGACGGTCCTCGATCTGCAGTCGCTGCTGCTGCTGCTGCTGCTGTTGTTGTTGTTGTTCCTGTTGCTTGCCGTGATGATGATAATGATCACCATCATTATCATTCATGTGATCGTCAGCAAAGACAGTAGAATCGTCATTCAACGAAACCATTTCTTTTTCGACACCAAGAGCGCGGCCCACATTATCAAGCACAAACAAACCACATATCATGGACCATCGGAGCACTTGCTGACCAGAAGACACTGTAAGCTTGACAAAGTCTGTGGTAGGCTTCCGTTTGGGAGGCAGCGAGGTGATGGCTTGGATCAAGCTCACTTGGCATTGAAGCAGCATCATAGTTGTGATGGAAGGGTGCCGCAGAGCTACGGATCGCTCGTCTTGTTGTTGTTGTTGTGTAAACAGGGAACGGACGTGTTTCACTTGCTCATCACTGAGCGTCTGAAACACATCGTTGCGTGCTCGATCGTACAACAGCAATCCACCATGGTTGCTGGGTGAGATGTTATGGCGGTTCGGGTTCCTGAGCATGCTGTTGTTGGCGATAACGAAGGGGTTAAATCAGGTTAAAGAAATAAAGAGAGAGAGAGAGAGGGAAGAATGGAAGGGAAGAAGAAATTCTAATTTATAGTATTTCATGCCTGGAAGCAATCACGAGCTTCTGTTCTGTATAATGTGTACAGCACTACTACAGAGGACACGGGCTGCTCGTGCAATCTACATCGTATGGATGAGAGAGTCGGAAAGGGGGGTTTGTTAGACTTGTGCGACCTGCTGTCGGGTCCACTCTTCCGTCATATCCGCTTTACATAAAAAATCTGCATCCCTACCCGTATTTTTCTTACAACCACAGGTTTCATCCCGGTCACCAGCTCCTTAATTTATCATCAGCGACTGGTCATAGCGGCGCCCCAAGGTGGTACCAGATCATTATCCAGTGGCTGCTGCCGATACCGGCGCTTATTAGCTTTCAAATAGCTGTGATAGCATACACACAGCAGCATCAGATAGCACGCTGATGAGCATACCACTAAACGTTTATCGTTTACTACTGAATAGCGCCGACAAACAAAAACAACAGCGGGCAGACTACATATGGGACGTAGCGGCTGACCGGTTTGTTGTCAAAACAATTTTGACATACACCACGCATACAGAGCATACCTCTTCGTACGCTCTATGTGCTTTTGATTAAGGTCTCGTTCCTTCGTCTGATGTGAGCAACTGTCGGTGTGCCTTTCTATCTCGTTTTGCTACCATTTCTTGAGACAGCGATGGTTCTGGCCGCTGAAGGGGGGGGGATCTCAATACACATACTTTATTGTATATAAGATGATTTTGGCGCGGTGACCAATGGTAGCTGCATTACATCGCATTATCTCTTGCAAGTAACACGGCACACAATGTGCAATGGTTTTCTTCCCAAAAAGATCTATTGGCCGAGTGAAAAAAAAAGGTTTTTAATGCATACGTGTTATCATGATGACGGCGAAATATGCTGTCTGGCGTTTTTCCTTCCTGTAATAAAGATCAACACACCCTAGCACACACACAAAAACGATCGGTCTCCTTTCGCATAGCAGAGGGTAAGCCATTGTCATCGAGGCTCTTTCTTGTTGATCGGTTCGGTAGCAGTAGTACGCATAGTAATCGGTGAGAGGCTGGTTGATACCAATAGTGACCGTGGGCAAATAAAACTGTTAGTGAGTGGAGTGAGAGGATAAAAAGAAGATGCGCCCTCCCTAGCTGTTGCTCTCTTCTCTCAATGAGAGCAGTATCATAACACTGCAATGTTTTGCGATTGCTTTTTGTTTGTTTGCATTACACATACACAGTTGCCCGCCTGATGCTTCTTTTTTTATACTAGCAGGTCGCACCAATAGCGACAAGGGTAGTGTAATATAAGCTTTTTTCACAGCTTAGTAGTATGTAGAGATACAAACGATTGTGCATTGGCCCCATTTCTTCCTACAGCGCCGTCCCCTCGCTTTCGGGATTAGATCAAATCCATCACTCGTGCATTTCTCATTCGATATACACGAGGAGAAAGCAAGTCACCGGTTACACCATTTGGTGCAGTCGCTTGCATACCTTTCCACTTTGCGATTGGCCCACATTTATTATTTTCCCACCAAAAAAAAGTAACGTCAAAGTTGCAGATCTGATAATGACGATAAAAAGGAGTTCGATGGCTTATAAGTAGTATAGTATTATCAACCAGTTATCATGAGTAGTCGTCATCGTGTAAATTTGTACGTGCTATTTCAATAAAAGGTTACATGCTGTATAGTGTGCAAGACCTGCATCTGTGAAAAAGCGCGGATAGAAAGATCCCTATTTGATTTGCCTTTCTCATTGACCGCTGCTGCATACATATTCACACATACATAAGAGGGAGGATGCTGCTACCACCACAAGTATCATTGATTAGCTTCTTGACTACATACGACATGTTGTACACCAGCAGTAGCAAAAAAAATCTGAAATTGACATTCTACTTCTGACTACTATGCATGCAGAAGTACCCACAGATGAAAGGCATCCCTATAGCGTCATAACCATTGTTGACAAGTAAATAGAACATCTTAAGAACCATTAAATGATAAGCATGTATGTATAGCCAAAATATATCGCGTTTAAAATAAGGTAAGTGTTGTAATTTATTAATGCACGATGAATTTTGACCTATGATCTTCCTCCTTCCAACTACTCAATGACAAAAATTATATATATATATATATGAACCATTTAGGCAACGAAAATTATGTGCATTTGACGGACACAAACTCCAATTACTTCCTCTCACAATTACGTATCAAGTCTCACGTTCTTGGCAAGATCTAACTGGCCCGATCACACCGCCCTACATCCTCAGGGCCTACATACATTGTACATACTTGTACATACATACACTGCATGTAGTATGTACTCATCAGTCCTTCAGAGAACACGCCATAAGACGGCTAAGCTGAATACGATATTGACACTTGACAACCAAGCATGGATGAGTCTGATGAACGTTTATCATATACGAAGAATAGCACTGCCAAGCGTAAAAGTATCATTTGGATATATCGCAAAATACGAGCTACTGTATTGTCAAGGAAAACTTGGGAAAACAATCCCGCCCCGGACGCAAGTCGTTCACATGACTTGTCTGGGCTCTCTATAGCAACAGTATTTCTTTACCTCATTATCAAAGTTTACCGCTTTGATTTTGTTGCGGGTCCGAGGTTTCTCCTTTTCAAATCGAATGAGTGTCCACTGTCATCATTTCGGTTGCTCCAAATACACTATCTACATCTTATGAGTAAGGCCATAACCACCAGCTGCAAAATGGGCTGATTTTTAAAAGGTACCATTACTGTGATGATACATAGAAAGAGGGTTTCGGTACTTCTAAAAGATTGCATCACGGAGAAGAAGGCAATTTACACCATCAATAACCGAGCTTAGGGCGATCCGGGATTGTGAACACATTTGTGTGGCCCGTGCCCACACTGACCAACGCTGCAGCTGATGTTGTGCTACATGAAAAAATGGTTTTTTTATTCTCAATGGAATGATCAGCCTCACGGCCCCATGTTAATCCTGTATTATTTTTTTATTCAAAAATCACATAATCTACAGCCTCAAT